TCAGCACTAATTGATAAAGAGCTTTGTAGATAATACTGGTGTGGCAAAAGAAAATTCTTACCAATGAAGAGTAATGCAGATTTATTTTTAACTTGCAGTGGGGGGGTGGGTTTGCAGGGACCCACTTCAGAATGGAGTTCTGTTCTAAATTTAAAAGCTCATTATGATGTTGGTCTCAATTTTAACTCTTCCTTGTTTTTTCAGTACTCTTCTGGTTCTTGGACGTTCATTTATGTAATAACTCTTACTCTGTTATAAAATAGTGTGCATTTCCGTGATAACAGGTGATTTAATTTCTTTCTTTTTTCTTTTTTTTTTTTTTCAGGAGTTGATAGATGATTTCATCTTTCCGGCATCCAATGTTTATCTACAATACATGAGAAATGGAGAATTGCCTGCTGAGCAGGCCATACCAGTCTGTAGTTCGCCAGCTACGATTAATGCTGGCTTTGAGCTACTAGTTGCGCTAGCAGTTGGATGTGTTCGAAATCTCAAACAGATAGTAGACACATTGACTGAAATGTATTACATAGGTACAGCAATCACTAGTATGTAATATTTTTAATTATCTATTTTCTTCTTTTTCATGTATATATTATGTATAGGTTTTGTTTATATTATCAGCTGAACTAGATGCTGAGTTTTTTACTTTGTGGTTGGTTTGTGGCTGCTTTTAATGTTGCGAAGTCAGTCTGTCAATGTAGAAAATGTTCATCAGTGTAGCCTTTATTTGTTCCTCTTTATGCAGTGAATGTACTGACTTGCATTACATGGTTGCATCCAAGTTCCAGCCCCAGTCACTTAGACGATCTGACCCTTCCTACCCCGATCTCTGGCTACTCCCCTTTGTCCATACCAGCTCACAGGAACTTCATTCTGTCTGTATCTTCTACTTTTGTCTCATTGTTTCAGGCTCTGCCTAACCAATCCCAGAACCTCATCAGGTATCTTCGGCTTAGTTTTAGTGCCAGTCTCTTGGTTGCTCACCTAATTTGTCATCATTGTCCACACACAGACACAGGTCCACCGCCCTCTTAAAAGTTCTGTACTCATTCTCTGCTTGTCATAGTTCTTTCTCAGACGTTTGTTCTCTCGGTTTTGGGCTTGTCTTAGCACAGCTGTGCACTTAAAGAACTTTCTCCTTCTCACTGGAGAAATATAACAACTGCAGTATGTGCAAAAACTTCCAAATGTTAGTGTTTCAAAAGCTGTCAAATGAAACTTGGGCTGATTTTCACAAGGATGGCAGAAGGCTCATACTTAACACAGATTATGTTATCAATGAAAAGCATGTAAGACTTTCCTAAAAATGAACAAAGAGGAGCATATTTTCTGCAGCCCTAATTGGGATAGCTAAACCATTTTGGCTGTAATATTAACAAGGAAAGGAGGGGAAAAACAAAGCAAAACAAAAAACTCACAAAACCAAACCAAGCAAACCTGAGCTCATATGGGAAGAAAGGCTGGGAGAGTGGGAGTGGTTCAGCCTGGAGAAGAGGGCTCCGGAAGGACCTTATTGCAGCCTTTCAGTACTTAGAGGGGTGCTTCTAAGAAAGATGGAGAGAGACTTTTTACTTGGGCCTGTAGTGGCAGGACAAGGGGCAGGAAAGAGGGTAGATTTAGATAGGACATAAGGAAGAAGTTCTTCCCAGTGAGGGTGGTGAGGCAGTGGCAGAGGTTGCCCAGAGAAGCTGTGGCTGCCCCATCCCTGGAAGTGTTCAAGACCAGGTTGGATGGGGCTCTGAGCAACCTGGTCTGGTGGAAGGTGTCTCTGCCCAGGGCAGGGGGGTGGACTAGGTGATCCCTTCCAGCACAAACCATTCTGTGATTTAACAACGTTTAAACTTGTAGAGTTTAGCAATACTATAAGCAACGAGAAATAGTATCCTATAGTGGGAATTATCCACTACCTCTTACAATGGCAGTGCTACTTGCCCAGTTGGTGATATCAGTGAGTCATTGGAGGTTTTTCAACCTCTTCCTGTTTGGTTCCATCTCAAATGAACAAATGAGAAGGGCCGCTTTATGGATTCACCCCCTGCCTCGTCCTGTTTTCTTCACCCTTTTCTATTGGGAAGTAGTGTATTTCTTATCACCTCACAATTAGAAGGATTTTATGGCATTTCCTTCCACTCAAGAATTTGATAAGCACGATAGAGCACAAGAACTCCATGGTATGTCAGACAGAAGAGAGAACACATGTATGAACTCTGCATGCTGTGTGTTTCATATACCAAGTAAACCTTGCTTGTAAACGTGCATGCTCTCTTACTTTCTTTTACATCAGAATTTTTTGTGTTAAAACCACAAAACAACACAGTAGCGTAGGAAACTTGTGATAATAAATGTACTCTGAAGAGATGAGAGGTCTGAGGGAGAAGGCTCAGGAGAAAAAAAAAATAAATCTATCACAAGTCCGATAGATAGCATTATCTAAAACTGGTTCCCATCTTGACAAGGAAAAGTGAGGCATAAGTGAAATATTGTTATTTTAAAAGGATTATAAATTTGTGAAAGGCTTGTAAATTGGTTATATATTCTAGATTGGTTCAACTGAATTCTTCAGCCTAGAAACTTGCTGATATTGAGGGAACACTTCTGTTTGATACATAAATAGACTGAATTTTTGTCTGGCCACCTTTTTAGTTAGGCAGTAGAAGAAAATGATGTACTATTAAGGTTACAGATAGAACTGTCATTCATAGAAGTTGTTTTAATTTTAGCAATTAAGTTTTCTGATGGAACATTTGTTTTATTAAACTGCAGTGTGGTACAGACTAATACTGATTTTATGCAACTGCCCTTTGTACTGCATTGATGGTCTAATTCTTTTGTTACAAAATAGTTTCCTAATCACATTCTGCTATTTTCTTTTAGCTTGTGAAGCGCTTACAGAATGGGAATATCTACCACCTGTTGGGCCTCGACCGCCAAAGGGATTTGTAGGACTAAAAAATGCTGGTGCCACTTGTTACATGAATTCTGTCATTCAGCAGCTGTACATGATTCCAGCTATCAGGAATGGGATTCTTGCAATTGAAGGCACAGGCAGTGATGTAGATGATGACATGTCTGGGGATGAAAAGCAGGACAATGAGGTAAATTTCATTACATAGAACTTACTTACCTTTAAAATAGAATTCTTTTTTATGAAAAGGTTATAACAAATTTAAGTTGCTAATCACTTTACTTTCAACTGCTAGCAGTGGGGACAATAGTGTAATATTTCTTAATTGAACAGGCTTACTGCCAGAGAGGCAGTTCAGAAGATCCAAGTAGCAGGATTTGCAGACTTCCTCATGGATTTGTACTTGAAAGCACTGTATGGGGACGTTTATTTTTTCAGATGAGAATATGAAACACCTTAGATTGTTAAATAAGGGATACAACTAGCTATGAGACAGCTATATATCAAAGTTAATTGCAGAAATTTTCTTCTGTTTTTCAGAGCAATGTTGACCCACGAGATGATGTGTTTGGTTATCCGCATCAGTATGAAGACAAACCAGCACTGAGTAAAACAGAAGATAGAAAAGAGTACAATATTGGAGTTCTGAGGCATCTCCAAGTAATCTTTGGTCATTTAGCAGCTTCCAGGCTACAGTACTATGTACCAAGAGGGTTTTGGAAACAATTTAGGTAAATAGAGACTTCAATATTGATGTCTGTTCACTGGACCACTGAAATGCAACAAAACGAATTGTAGTAGAAGAAATGATAGTGATGTTAAGTGTAAATGAGCAGAGCATGTGCAGCATTGTGTTTGTTATCTTACCTTTTCAGCATTATGTAGAAGTCTGTTGATAAACCAAAGATTACAGCAAGATGGTTATTTTGAATTCTAGCAGTTCTTGACCTTGATGTTAAGACTTTGAATGAAGTATGAAGTTATACCTAAAAGCTTGTTTTTACTTACCAGTAGGTAAGTGTCAGGGACAGAGTAACAGGTGATATACTACAACACAAATCAATCAATAGTTTTGCTCAGTAAGAAAGAGGGATTAATAGCTTGAATAATATTTTTTTAGAAAAGAAATTGTTGGAGAACAAAACAAAAAATATTTGACAAGAATGTGCTTTTGTTTTCAGACTTTGGGGTGAACCTGTAAATCTACGTGAACAACATGATGCTTTAGAATTTTTTAATTCCTTGGTGGACAGTTTAGATGAAGCTTTAAAAGCTTTGGGCCATCCAGCAATGTTAAGTAAAGTTTTAGGAGGGTCCTTTGCTGATCAGAAGATTTGTCAAGGATGCCCACATCGGTAAGTGTTTAAGATTGTTCTTTCTTAGAGGAAAAAAAAAAACAACTGTGTATCCTTATAAAAATGACTAAAGAGTCAAGAGTGGGGGGTTTGTGTGGTTTTGGTGGGTTTTCTGTTTGTTTTGGTTTTTGTTTTTAAAGCTGATAGAATTTGCTACCTTATTTTCTCTACAGCCTTAACATTGACTTCAAGTGCCTTGAAATACTTGATTATTATTGCTTCTACTTAGCAGATGGTATGTGAAGCATTGTGTATCGATCAGGGGAGGAAAAGATACAGCTTTTTCATGTTAAAACTGAAAACAACTTAGGGACCAAATGCAATGTATAAAATTTTAAGACATAACCAACGGCTGCTGCTGTCTTCTGTCTTCCATAGTGTGTGGATAGAGCTGAGTCAATATGAGTCTTTAATTCTAATGAGTAAAACTCCATGCTTACTATGTAAGCTGTAATTAAGGAGAATGGTGTAGAAAGTTTATCTTTTTCTTAAGATTTCCGCTGTATTTTTAATTAACTTAAAATGTGAATACTGAAACCAGTAATATTCATCATTTCTTTATCTTTAAAAAAAATAGAAAGTTTCCAAGATATCTTAACTGGTTGTCAAGCATTGCTAGTTTGTCGCTAGGAATTTGTTTGAAGGTTACATCAAAACACAGTAAGTCAAAGCCAGTCATAAATATGCAAAGTGATTTTATGAAGACAGCTATTCAGGTTTTTTAAGATAAAAAAATAAAAAGGTTTGTGTTTTTTTTTTTTTATTGGAATCTGGCTTGAACTGTTGTATTTGGGTATGATACGAGATTTGTGTCCAATTCCTGACTGTCAAGGTCAGCAATGGAAAAAGTACTCTGCTATCTGTGCTTCTCTACTAGCTTAAGTTCACCAAGAGTCTGTCATGCTACTTTAGCTGCTTTGAAAACAAGATGTACTAGAAGATTCAACTTCCACAGTCTTTTCAGAGAACTTGAAATGTATATACAAGTCATTCTATCATCTTCATAAAATAACTATAGTTAGTGCAGATCAGAAAATACAATATGCAGATACTGTAACATAATTATAGGAAGACTCCAATAAAAAAAGAGTTAAATTACTTTTTTACTGCCTAACTCCTTTTGCTGGAAGTTGACATCAAATACTGAATAAAACTTTTGCAGTAAGGTGCTGTGTAGTGCCTGTAAAACGTAAAAGTTGAACACGTTGAAAAGTTGAACTACCGCTGTCTTACATCTGTCTGTTCATTGGTAGGTACGAATGCGAGGAATCCTTCACAACTCTGAATGTAGATATAAGAAATCACCAAAACCTTCTTGATTCTTTGGAACAGTACGTCAAAGGAGATTTATTGGAAGGTGCAAATGCATATCATTGTGAAAAATGCAACAAAAAGGTAATGATTCCTTATGTATTACATTTGTGTACAACCATGATGTTACAGCCGCACTGAAGTTCAGTCTTAGTTCATGTTCAGGGGAAGAAAGTTAGCCTTTAATTACTGAATTCGGTTGTTGGTAAGAGTGTATGAATGGAAGCCTAAGAGCTGGTAACTGTTTGTCTCCTTTTTTAGGTTGATACAGTGAAACGCTTGTTGATTAAGAAGTTGCCTCCAGTTCTTGCGATCCAGTTGAAACGATTTGATTATGACTGGGAAAGGGAATGTGCAATCAAGTTCAATGATTATTTTGAATTTCCACGAGAGCTGGACATGGAGCCTTACACGGTGGCAGGCGTAGCTAAATTGGAAGGAGATGATGTAAATCCTGAAAATCAGTTAATACAAAATGAACAGTCTGAAAATGAACACTCTGGGAGCACAAAATACAGGCTTGTTGGTGTACTTGTACACAGTGGTCAGGCCAGTGGTGGACATTATTACTCTTATATTATCCAGAGGAATGGTGGAGATGGTGAGAAGAATCGGTGGTATAAATTTGATGATGGAGATGTGACAGAGTGTAAAATGGATGATGATGAAGAAATGAAAAATCAGTGTTTTGGTGGAGAATACATGGGAGAAGTGTTTGATCACATGATGAAGCGTATGTCCTACAGACGCCAGAAGAGGTGGTGGAATGCTTATATTCTTTTTTATGAACGTATGGACACAATAGACAAAGACAATGAACTAATAAAATATATTTCAGAACTCGCTGTCACCACTAAACCCCATCAGATTAAAATGCCATCAGCCATTGAACGAAGTGTACGGAAGCAGAATGTGCAGTTCATGCATAATCGTATGCAGTACAGCCTAGAATATTTCCAGTTCATAAAGAAGTTGCTTACTTGTAATAGTGTCTACTTAAATCCTCCTCCAGGTTAGTATGTTATTGCAGTAATAATTATGGATTAATTTCTTGCAAGAAGAGTTCTGATTTGTGTTGCCAAGAGTTTGTCTAGCCACTGAAAATTTTGTGCATTCTGCTTTGAATATTCTGTCTCTCTGGACTTCTGCAGTTAAACATCTGTTGTTGAATTGTTCATCAGTGATCGCATGCGAGAATATTTAGCAAAAAAACTTTGAAAAACTATCAGCTGTTATTTAGCTTATGTACTAAGTCATGTTAAAAATACTTAAGTCAGTGGGCTGTTCTGCTGAAGACAGTTCTCAAAGGTGAGACACTGAATTTCTAAACATCAGGCGTATGTTAGCCTCCAGGTACCTGTCTTAAAGCTTACATTTTCAAATGATACATTATGGAAGCTAGGAGCTGTTGTGATCAAGTTTCTTGTTAAAATCAGAACACAATGTCAGACAAAATAGTAATCTATCTGCAATCAGTTAAATTGTTAAAAGTAAATTGCTTTTACTTTGTCTACATGTGAGTATTTTGGTTTTTCTTTAGGACAAGATCATCTGTTGCCTGAAGCAGAAGAAATAACTATGATTAGTATTCAGCTTGCTGCTAGATTTCTCTTCACCACAGGATTTCATACAAAGAAAATAGTCCGTGGCCCTGCTAGTGATTGGTATTTTGTCTTTTAACAACAGTTACAATTTTGGAAGTTTGATGTCTGTTAAAAGATCCCAGTTACATACATATGACAATAAAAAGTGTTAGTGGTGTGTCCCATTTTTCCCCTCTCCCCCAAATACATGGTCAAGGTGCACATGAAAAGGGGGGGAAATTTGAACAGAAAATACTGGGAAGAAACTGAGCCTTAAAATTAGCTAATGAGCTGAACAGCTTCAAAATTCATTTTCAAACAGAGCTTAAATTTGCCTTTTGTCTGTCCTTTAAAAAGAATAAAGGAGTAGAATCCATTGCTAGCGCAAAACTAATAGGTTATGTATTCTGAGTAATTCAGAATGGTTTATTCGTGATTTGAGTAGTTTTAAACAAAGCTCTTCTCAACCTATTTTTGCAGTTTATATTTGTATTCTGTTTCTGAAATGTATATAGTCTTTTAGACTCGGTTAGCGGAGTGCTTTATGTACATTGCAATGGGGCCTGTAATTCAAATCTGTAGTATAACACACAGTACAATCTTTTTCATAACACCACAGCAGTGTAGTCTTTAAGCTAGGTTATTCTGCGTTGAGGAGAGGAGTGTGGGTTACTACTGTAGAATTAGAGAGAAAATCTAGTATTTGTGATGACCACTAGTTTGCCAGCTACTAGTAAGTAGTTGTATAATACATGGTAAATACGTACCTCAAGTTTTTCTCCAGTAGCAACTTTCAGAGTAGCTAAGTTACTCCTGTTATTTTAAGAGATCAAGAGGAGTTCAAATATTGCTGTAGGAAGGAGGACAGAAACATACAAGACCCTCTCTGGACTAGATGTTTGGGTGGTTTGGAGGAGTTTTTTAGATCTGTAACTGAGAATGTGAATTCCTGATAAATTACATATTTAGTTACCTGTCTTATACAAAGCTCATGAAATCTACCTCGTGTCCTCCACTGCTCACCCTCTCCCCCATTTGCAAGACAGAGGGAATCGTGGCTGCCAATTTAGAACCTGCTTTGAGTAGTAGTTTGGGAGTTAGGGGATGTAATTGTGTCTTAGTTCTTATGGGCGATAGAAGTAAAATGCTACAGTTAAATGTTAGTTTTTTAATTGAAGTATCTTTGTAATTTGTGATTGCTATAGGAGCTACAGTTTACCTGATTTGTAAGCATTTTGCAAGTAAAAATGTTTGGGGATAGCCTTTAACATGTATTTTCTTCAAATTATGTGAAAGAATATGCCTGCCAAAGTTAATTAACGTCTACATTTGGTCATAATCTCAGTTGCGTCATCTTTTATTTCAGGTATGATGCATTATGCATCCTTCTTCGTCACAGCAAGAATGTACGCTTTTGGTTTGCACACAACGTCCTTTTTAATGTTTCAAACCGCTTCTCTGAGTACCTTTTGGAATGCCCTAGCGCAGAAGTGAGGGGTGCATTTGCAAAACTTATAGTATTTATTGCACATTTTTCATTGCAAGATGGACCATGTCCTTCACCTTTTGCCTCTCCTGGACCTTCCAGTCAGGTATTTAATTTCTAATGAAAAACTTTTGAAACTTACTCTTACTTCTTCATTTATAAGCATTTAATGTGAAGTAAATTCTGGAGTAGATGGATCAGTGTTCACAGGAAGGCTGTACGGTCCATGTTGTACTACATAAAATGATGTAAATCAACCAGTTTGTGTGAGAGTTGCTGTCAGACGGTTCAGTTTTCCTTCATTTGTAAATCTCTATGGAGACTAAGTAGTGAGAACATTGAGTTGCGAGTTTGAAATCTGCAGAATAAAAGTAGTGGCTTATAATAAAGTTATGTGTAGGGAGTGAACCCTTGTTTTTCACTTAGAACTAAAAAACAAACAAAAACCAACAACAAACAAACAAAACCCATGAAAACATGCAGGTGTTCCCTAGTTTTCTTTCCCTGTGTCCTGCAGTTTTTCTGTGTCAACAATTGTAACTTTGCATAGGAGTAGACAGTGAATTGCCTAATTTATACACCTAGAACTGACAAACAAAAAAAAAAAGCCAAAATCTTAATGTAATATTTGTCATAACAATGTTTATGTTTGGACAGCAGTCAAATTTAAAAGATCAACCTTTTTGAGCCTTTGCTTTGTCATGTTTTTAACATCTATAGTAAGACACTTTTATTTGTATTGTTCCACTTGCTTTCTTGGAATGTTTTCACTACTGTTTCCAGCAAAAGAATTTGCATTAAGTAAAAGCTACGTATGCTTTGAGAGTTTTGTTTCATGAGGTATTTGAGATACACTTGTAGAGGTGGTTTGGTTGTCAGTCTATGAAGTTCACAGTGGAACTGCATATGCTTTTCTGAGTATTTAAGTCTAGCTGCTATTGGAGGAAAAGCTCTATTAAAAGCTTCTGTACTTGCATGATTTCTTTGACTTACATGGTATTTAGTGTTGAGAGTCCTCTTCCCTGTATGTCTGTCTTTGTGTGAGATACAGAAGACTAACCAGCTGCTAGTATTTTGGAGCTTGTATGAATCCCATGCCTTTTAGCCAATTCTGTTTTCTGCCATAGTAGAAAGTATAAACCAAATAAAGATTTTATAAGATTGACCGCTAATATTAAAACTTTTTTTTATAGGCTTACGATAACTTAAGTTTAAGTGATCACTTGCTGAGAGCGGTACTAAATCTTCTAAGAAGGGAAGTATCTGAACATGGGCGCCATTTGCAGCAGTATTTCAATCTGTTTGTGATGTATGCCAACCTAGGTAAGCAAATTATACACACTTTTACTAATGTAATAAACTATGTAACTGGATCATTAACAAAAAACGGGTAATAGCAGGAGAATCCAGTTTTTCAGCCTCAGGGAGATTGTTATCATTAAATGTCATATAAATGCTCTACAGAGCATCTGTGTTCCTCCAGCTTGGAGTTTGGGGCTTTAGTCTTCCTGCCATCCTTGGAAGATTAAGATGAAAAGCTTGGAGCAGTAAGATTGATCGTCTGAGAGGGTGTGGGGGTGAAAAAATGACAAGAGAGATGACGCTTTGTTCAGGACTCATTGGCAGGGAGGTCATGAGACCCAAGAAGCATGTGGGGCTGTCAACTGGTTTGAGCCTGAAGAAGTTGAGGAAGATAAAAGTTCAAAAAAGAGAGTGGCATGATTCTCCTTTATGGAAGAGTATGACCATATATTCCAACTGTGTCCTTTCAATATTAATTTCCTTAGTTCACCTTTGAAGTTCACAGCTCTAAATGCAAGACACTGATTCTGTATCTGTCTTCCCTTTAAAGACTCTTTGGGAGGCTGAGGAAATAACTTAATCTCTGTATGTTCTTGTACATCGTTGCTTGCCAGAATGCATTCACCATAGACATCATATGAAGGAAAAGAATGCAAGAATTGGGAAATTCCACTATAAATTTATTGGATATTGTTGTTCATCCAAGATAAACAGGCAAGAAAAGCCAGCGGTTTTGCAATATAGGAAGGCTTAAGTAAAGTTCTCCCAGGCTTGAGACGGTGATTCTTTTCATAAAGACTAGACTCCTGAATTTTCTGATGAAAGATTAAATTAGAGATTGAGTATGATCGCAAATTAGTATTTATTTTTAGCATTTTTGAATTCAAGACTGGTAGGAGTACCTGTACTTGCAGGTGTTACACTTAAGATCCATTATACACATGCTGTAATATGAGATGGGTGTCAGTTTTGTGGTGATGGATGTGAAATACTGGCTGTGGCACTTCTGGTATCGTCTGTGTTTCTTCAGGATCTTAATTGTATCCAGCTTTATGAAAACAGAAATAAGTGTAGATTCAAAAGTATACAAAAACTTGTATTAAATTCTGGATTATGTAGATTCTTTGCCTAGAAAGTCACTAGCCTATATGCCAAGAATAGAATAATACTAATACTATCTAAAGTAACTATTCCAAATGAAAAACATTTTTGCAGTTAAACTGAGATCAGTCCTGTTCACATTCAAACGAACAGCTGTAATCATGCTTTTTCTTAGCATTACCAGCATACTTGAAAATCAATAGATGATTGATTGAATAAACTGTTGCTCAGGTGAGTTAATCCATTGCTGCTTCATACATTTGCCCTGAGGAAGAGTAATTAAGAGTAATAAAATGCAAGTCAAATGAATAAAGGATTGCTTATGCACTCTCAGGTTGATGAGGGTAGTCACAGGTTCATATCTAATGAGTTGTCACAGAGCTCTGCATTCTTACATTCTTACCCTCCCCAGTTATTAGGGTCTTCTATCAGGGGCCCGTTTCTCTTTCACATATGGTAGCCTAAGTGACAAAGCATCTTTATCTACGGCAAGTTCTAAAAAAGATACGATATTCTTCTATAGTGATAGTCTATTACACTCTTCCTCTTACTGTAATACAAGGTATTTTCATCTTTTTATGTAAAATAACATGAAGCTAGGAGATCCAGTTCCCTTGGAAATTTTACAAAATGCCCATAACACTGAGCAGCTCAGCCATTGGTGGTTATCAGTTCGTGCAGGCAAGTTATAAATGTGAGTTTCTGTTAGATTACTTTGTGGCTGAAGTGTTAAGCAAGCGTATCAGTCCAGATGGAGTTATTTCAGTATTTCCGCATAGAATTGGCGCATACACACACAGAGTCTCAAAGCTTTTTCCTGTGGGCAGACAATTTTAAAGGAATTTAATTTTACAGATAGGAAATTAATCTACGCAATTGTGTTAATTTAATTTCACCTATAATGTATGTTACTTTCATATACGTTGTCTACCAAAGCATTCTCTGTCAGGCAGGGTTCCATCATGACCCCGAGAGTGGACTTCATGACATTACAGGGAAGAGAGATGCAATTCTTCTGCTCTAACTTACCTTTTCTTCTTTGCTAGCTCTTCATAGTCAGTCAGTGCAGTTGAAACCTCTGACTAGGAAAGCACTCAGAAGCCAGATGGGAAAGCATAACTAAATTTTATTTGTGGGTCCAATCGTTACCACAATCTACCCTGCAAAGATAAACATGGAAATATTAAGCGGTTGTGCTTCTCTTACTACTGTTAACTGAAGGCTTCTGTACAGATGTAGAGTGTTCATTCGGCAAAAGCCACAATACATCATTCCTGCAGCACCCCAAGTTCTGTGAAAAAGATCAAATTGTCTGACATTTTCAGAAATCAAGTAATACATTGTTCATGTCAAAGGGAGCGAGAGATCAGTTCTACAAAGGATGTAACTACAAAAATATCTAACATAACCAAAAAGATACTATAAGAGAGCTCTAATAAGGTGCTGTCTGGATTCCTCATTCTTGTCAGAAAGATGGTAGGTAAGGTCCAGTTGAACTTCAGAATAAAAACAAACTTGGAAATGTGTGAAAAGTTATTACTTTTAACCAAATTGAGAAACACAATACAAGATTGGAGGGGACGTATCGAATTTACTGGTAAGTGTAGTATGTGCAAGGTATTCTTGCAGTGAAACTAGCAGTATGTTTGGATTTTTTGGTTGGTTGGGTTTTTGGTTGGTTTTGGAGGTTTTCTCATTTTGTTTTTTGTTTTTTCTTAAATTGATTTTTGATTCACACTTAACTGCATAGTATGACACAGTTGGAAATGTCTTAAATTTGTAATTGATGTATCTAGGACATGATAGAAAAAATAACAAAATACAGTGTGAGGGGTGTTTATCCTGTCCTGGGCCTCATAGTAGAAAGATAATTCCTTGTCCAAAAGAGTTACTTGGGGCTTTGCTAATAACACAGATGCCAGTTACTTAAGTGCTAAGGAGCACTGTTAAGAAATTGTAGTCATTTACAGCTGATTTTGTTTTTTTTTTTCCCCTCAGAAAGCATAAATGATGGTTATAATAAAACCCAGCAACTGCAAAGTTACAAATCATGTAAACAGTAGTTATTTTTCTTTTTTAAAATAAAAACTATTGTTAGTGCCAGAAACAGGATGTATCTATCTTTTTTTTTTTTTTCCTTCTTTTTTCCTCCCACCCTCCTCCCCATAAAGGTGTAGCAGAGAAGACCCAACTTCTGAAACTAAATGTTCCTGCAACCTTCATGCTTGTGGCTCTGGATGAAGGTCCAGGTCCTCCAATTAAATACCAGTATGCTGAACTGGGGAAGCTGTACACTGTTGTGTCACAACTGATCCGTTGTTGCAATGTGTCATCGCGGATGCAGTCTTCTATCAACGGTATAGTGAATTTTAAGTTTTCCTTAATTAATTGAATATGTCAGTAAATGTCTTCTGTGCATATTTCACTATTATGTGTAAAATGGATTACCTGGAAAAATGTTTGCCTTTTTATGTTTAGCAACACTTTTTGTTTAAAGACAGAAGTCTCTTTGTCGTAAGCAAAACTGATTCACTATACTAAAAAGCAGAAGACAGAAATCTGTTCTGTATTTTATGCTTGCTGGCTTATTCCTTAAAGATACAGGAAAACAACTGGGTAGTAAAGTTTATTGATTACAAAATAGTAATGATTTTAGAATAGTTTAAGCTCATTGTAAGAGTTACATAAAGATCTTTTGATTCTGAGTAGGCAATAAAATAATAGATGACTTTCATGTTACCAGTACAAAAGTAGTCCGTACAGGAAAAACACTATAGCAGGCTCTGAAATAGCTAATGCTGTTTATCATTAAAGAGGTCTTGTATCATTATGGATAGCTCTTGAAAATGATTTGGTGCTTGTTTGCAGTCAAGAAAACAAACAGAAGTCAGCATTTTAATTTGTAAAAAATAAAATTGGCCAACCAGCTAGAAATTGGCCAACCACAGTATAAATCATTAATATCTCCAGTAGTTGAATAGAGTGCAGTTATTTTTGAGAAATGGTGACAGAATATTGGGCTATGTGGAGTTTATAGCCTGTATATGTACACATTCTATTAAGCATATTTTAGAAAACCTAATTAAGAATCTGTAGAGAAGCTATTCAGTGGCAACTCATTACAACTTGATGTGTCAGACTTTATAGTCAATAGGCTAGAATGTGCTATAGTAAGATTAATGAACTGAAAATTTTACTGTGCTGTAATAAGCTTCAGAACCATTTGGCAGCTTTGATTTGGTTTTGTTTCCAGTGCATTATTTGAAGCTTACACTGAAAAGATAGTCTACTTGTGAAAAATAATTATATATTCACTGTATTCATAATGTTGTAATAAAAAAAATTACATCACTCTAACTACTAATTATGATTACTATTTGCAGAGTAAAGTTATTTTTTGCTAAGCATATTAAGCTAGAAAAGTTCACCCTTTGACTTCTGGGCATCTTAAAACAATAACTTAAAACACTACTGAATTTAGAAACATCAGGAGCAAATCAACAGTCTTTCCTGACACAAAATGAAGCTTACTAAATAAGAAACGTTACTTTTTATTCTTTCAAGAGTGTATTACTTCTCTGTACACTCTAGAGATTCAGATGGAGCTGTTCTGACATAGAGATTCCTCGGAACCCTTTTCCATTGCCTAGTGAAGTAAAAAGACCTTGAGTCCTAGAATATGATAGATTTGGGCTGTGTTACACAAGCAGTGAAGCAGATAACCTCAGGAGATAAGAGGATTTCCGTGAGACAACTCTCAGTAATTTGTCTTCTTGCATGTGAACATGTCTCCAGCTGTTCTGCTTTGATTGTCACTGCATAATCTTATCTGAGAGGGAGAAGTAGCTCTCAGGTAGCAAGTGTCAAGCTTCGCAATCAAAAAACTGAGTTATTTCGTATTGTAGTATTTTTCAAAGAAAATCAACTGTTAGGGAGTGGTTGGTTTTTTTCCTCCATCTTTTTGATGAGTTACACCAATTTATATTTTGTTGTATCTACACTGAAAGTACTTCAGTACCTTTTCATCTGTAATAACTGTTTGTTCTAGGTAATCCCCCACTTGCCAACCCTTACGGTGATCCTAATTTATCTCAACCCATAATGGCACTTCAGCAGAACGTAGCAGACATTTTGTTTGTGAGAACTAGTTATGTGAAGAAAATTATTGAAGATTGCAGCAACTCTGAAGAGACCATCAAGTTGCTTCGTTTCTGCTGTTGGGAGAATCCTCAGTTCTCTTCCACTGTCCTCAGTGAACTTCTTTGGCAGGTAAAAATAAAGAAAGCTAGGAGAAAGATGGGAATATGAATGTGTATGATGCAAGATCTTATATTTATATATAGGAATGCTGTCTTAAATACTGAACAAGTGCTTGATAGATAAACTTTCCTTGAGATGGCATCCTCTGTCAGTATTTACACTCTTAGGTCTATACATCATGTTGGAGTACTATGAGAAATCCTTTTATGATTTTAGGAGAACAATCAACGTTTTATGAGTTAGGAACGGTAAGTTAAGGATGGAAAATAAATAGACTGAGATGGTCTTTATGTATTGCAAGAGCATTTCCTAAAGCTTTTCTGTCATTATCCAGAAAAGAGCTTTTTAGATTGCATGGAAAGTTAGAATCATTTCCTAAGATCTCCTTTGTATTTATTTTGAGTATGTATCTTTGGGACTCTCTTGTTTTTCCTTTCTAATCTGTGTAAGGTTAGTCACACTTTTCCACTCCAATAAAATTTTTTACTTCTGTTAGCTCATCTTTATATTTGCCCATTTTTTTTTCCATGTAAACATCATATTTTTCTGTGTCCTTTTGTTTGGCACTTGAAACAATCGTAATAAAAATCACTTTACTGATATTTTACTAGCCACGTATTTTACATTTTAGGATAACCTTCAAACATACTGTCTAAAAGTAGCAATATCATTAAAAAATATCATTTTGTAATTTTGCTTTTCTGAAGGTATTTTTTTAAGGTGGCTTCTTTGGCATCTCATGCTTGAGGCTTCTGATCAATTGTGTTAGAAACTCATGAGGAAACATTTTGTCCTTTACAAAACCTACTATATTTAAAAAACAAAACAAAAACCCAACAAAACTAGAACTCCCCAAAAACCCTGACACAATCAACTTTTTTTTTTTTTTTTTTAAAAAGTAGGCATTCTATCTTGAAATATCTTTTAAATTACAGTGAACTTCTCTTCAAATGAATTATGGGCTTGTATTGCACCATGTAACCTGCATGCTTCAAGAAAACCTTTCTTACATTCTCTGCATTTCTACTTTTTAAGGTTGCATATTCATACACATACGAGCTTCGACCTTATTTGGATCTGCTTCTGCAAATCCTATTAATTGAGGACTCTTGGCAAACTCACAGGTTAGTATTTACCTGTCTTTTTATAATTCAAGATTATTATGTTAATCCTTTCCAGAAGTTTGGTTTAAATATCTGCTAAATCAAAATACAGGAATAAAGTGAGTTTTTTCCACTTTTATCTCAGTTTTTTAGATAAATCTACAATTTTTCTCCTTGACCTTCCTTACTATAGAGAAATTTGCTACTTAGTGCTATAAACCCAAGACTTTTCGCATACAAGAGAATGTGCTGCTTAGACTAAACTCACTGTTTAGCACTGTGAGATGCTTAGACTGTTTGTTTGAAACATCTCGTTCAAGAGCGTTCAGTGACAGCCTGGTCTTACGATAAAGCACATCGGTTGTAGTAGTGATACGAAGACATGCATAAAGTGTGAACTTGGGATAAAAGCAATTTCATACATAGAGAATATTTATGTAATCACATTTCAAGAGAATTTTAACTTCAATATGTTAAAATATTCATCCAGTTTCAAACCTAATTTTTATATGTCTACAGAATAAGGCTTTTGAAAGCTGAGATAAAAAAAATGAATTACTGCAAATACTGACTATTTGTGAGAATAGTCAATTTTTTGGAAGTTTTAAATAGAAGTAGTAGTGGGTGAGGTAACACAAAATAAATTGCATCAGCATGCTACCTGTCAATATTTCAAAATGTCACTGTTTCATAATAAGTGAATATAGGTAGTATTGGATTTACTAAATCATTTGCAAGCGTGTCTTATATGACATTTAAAGTACTTTGAGTGAGAGCACACTTGCAGTGTGCAGTAAGGGTATTGGGGTGAACTCATGTGCTTAACTTGTAGAAGCAGACTGCGCTCTTAGGATTTTATCAGCTGCCTAGCCTTACTGTAAAAGATACTTGTAAGAGAAGATGGTGGTCTGCCTTAACCACACTCCAAAACCTGAAGACTGAGTGGAGGGATTTCTTCATTTTCTTTTTAGGAATTACAGGTTAGGTAAGGGACGAGAATACCCTTTATACACAGGCATTTGAGTTTTGCATATATATGTATATGTAGTGCATATATAGTACAGTTTGTTTCTGTTTTCTTCCTGGTAAACAAATACTTCTATAAGATGTCTTAAAGTCCACATCATGCTGGAGGATGGGCATACTTTAGTAGTTGCGAAGTAAAATAACATACTTTAGGGTGGAAATGCAGGTGAGAAATCGTGGAAATTGTTGTTCGGGAGAGTGCTGCGTTTGAAATAATGGCGTATGAAGGAGGTTGAAGATGGAATGAAGTTGAATGAGGCTTTCGCTGTACTTGGAGATGTGTATCACTTTGTATTCAAGATCGCAGTCTCAAGAATAGCAGTGTTTGTTGGAATTGTGTTAGGATGCAGCAGAGGGGTATTAAGTAGCCAGCTGCAGTCATCCTCCGATTTCTTGCTGCCATTTCTGGCAGTAGCTTGAAGTACTGGTCTCTGTCTTGCTCTTGGTTTTGCTGTGATAGTCACAGAGTTTTAATGATCTTTGTCTTCTCTTTCCAAAAAAAAAAAAAAAAAGGCGTAACAGTGTAACTGTCCATAGTAAATGGTAGTATCTTCTAACTCTTAGAAAACAAACATGATATGCTTTCAGGGGGTGTGCATCCTTCGGTATTCTTGTATTCTTGTACTGTGAGATGGCTGCTGCTCTTCTTTGGCATCAGACCAGCTCACATAAATTTCTCTTGATTTGACAAGTTCAAGTGCCAAGTTTGGGATAATAGTGTTACATTAAGTTAATGGTACAATAGTGTACCGTTAAGTTAAATCAGCTGAAGTAAAGCTCGTCATCACTTTACAGATGGAGCCTAGGTTGCTGGCTGCCTGGAGTCTGTTGACTGTTGTCAGGGCTATGAGGAAAGAGAGCAGTTGCTTTTCCTACAATGACTGTAGCAATTTGAGGTGTCG